TTCCCTTCTTGCATTCTTTCTTCACCCTCTCTTTTTTCCTTTGCCCCTTTTTCTTTCCTTCCTTCCTTCCTTCCTTCCTTCCTTCCTTCCTTCCTTCCTTCCTTCCTTCCTGTCTTCCTTCCTGTCTTCCTTCCCTTCTTCCTTCCCTCTTCCTTCCTTTCTTTTTTTCTTTCTTCCTTCCTCTTCTAATTCATCCTTTTCAGTTTCCCTACCATTCCCCTAATTTCCCCTTAACATTCATACTAAAATAGCTTCTTAAATGGTCTCTTAATCACCTATCTGTTCAATAGCCACTGCCGAATTTCAGCCTTCCTAAGGCACAGTTGTGGTCAGATCACTACCTGCTCAAAACCCTTATGTGATTGGTTGCCCACTGCCTACCAGTTTAATTCCATAGTCTTCAGTACCTCACAGATTATGGCTCCAACCTGCTTGTGCAGTTCAGTTAAGCTCCGTTATACTCCTTAACCTCCAGTGGAACGGGCCTGTTTAGAGTTTTATAAACACATTCCTTGCTCTCTGTTACCATGTCTTTTCTTTTATTATTTCCTTTGCCTGGAATACGTAGCCTCCTATTCTGCCCTTTGGAAACTTGTTATCCTTTAAGTCTGAATTAGATGCCACTTTCCTTTCCCATATTGTAATCTGTGGGTGTCTCTTCTCCCCATCATATAGATTATAAATTCCTCAAGATCAGGGCCTTTGTCTTCTTGGAATTCTGTGAATTTTTAACACAGTGCCTTGCAGTGGTAAATAGTTGGTAAATTTAATTGGTGTGCAGCAAGTTCTTTCATTTACCAAAATTTCTATTTTCTTGTCTCTAGTTAAAGAAGAGTGTAAAAGTCCTAAAACTGAGAGTGGGGCACAAAAAATATCAAATAAGCAAGTAAGCTTTTATTCTTTTAATTTTTTTTATGTTTTATTATGGTAAGCTACCTTAAAAGTTAAATTTCTAGTAGCCAAAAAAAAAGTAATTCATGGCTCTGTGGCATCTGACTGAATATTGCAGCCCTTTCAATCAAATCCCTACAGTGTGTGGCAAGAGGGCACTAAAATGTAGCCTGACAGTCATATGAATGGGAAGATGCATAGCTAGAGTCCAGGATCTGGAACTAGAAGCATCTGAAGCCCTGGTTCTACTGTGTAATAGTCTAGTGGCCTTGAGCAGTTCATGCATCTTTCAGCCTCAATTTCTTCATCTTTAAAATGGAGATAAAAATAGATCACTTATTTCTCTCAATATACAGTCTATATACATACATACAAACATACCTACATACATAAATGTATATATGTATACATATATAAAATATATGGAAATATGTTTATATATACAACAAAAGTACATGTATCAGCATAGCAAAGTTAACAGTTAATTCTGCAGAGTTATGTTGGTAGGGAAAGCTGAGATTTATGCTTTATTTTATATAGTCTCCGCTGTTTGATGTGAAGTATGTATACATTTTATAATCAAAGTATAACAAATTTTAATCTAAAACATTCATCTTGTACCCTTATGATGTGTGCATTTTCTTTATGTATATTATATTTTAATACGAAGTTTAAAAAAATTACTTCTTATAAGCTAGTAATATATTAAATTTACAAAAAGATGTCTTAGCAGAATATTTGGCACATAGCAGGCTCTCAGTAAATGGAACCCATTAATATTTAGATATCAGTAAAATGGTTGAATTACATGAACTTTTAATGCCCTCTCCCTCTAAAACTCTTATGCTGTGATTTTCTTTCCCCTAGAAAAAGGATTTATAAACTTTTCGTGCTATGTGCCTCTTTGGTGAAGCATATGGACTGTTTTTGAGAATAATGTTTTAATGCTAAAATAAAATACATAAGATTTGAGAGAAAATCAATTATATTGAAATAGCATTAGAATCACCCCTATTGTGATTTATTGCCTACATTCATAATTAAAGGGAATGCTAAATCTTATTTGAAAGTTAATGAAGATAAAGATGTACATTTTTTCCTCATCCAAGCTTATAGGTCCCCCCATTTTTTTCTTATGATATAAATAGGAGAATATCACACAAAAAAGTTTACAGCAATTTATTTAGAACACTATTAAGTAGTAACTATAAATTTTATTTGCACAAAAAGCTCATTCGTACTCTTTTATAGACGTTTGGAGGAGCTGCCAAATGTAGTATTAAGCTATTGAAGAGAAATGAAAGTGCAGAAATCTCAGAAAACCAAAAGGTTGTGACTGGTTATCCAAATGTTATTGATAAGGTAAAAACCCATTTATTCACTTTATCTTCCCAAACTTTAACAGCTGGGAAGATGATTGGATGAAAATTTAAAAATCATTTTTGTGCATAAAGCTCTTAGTTTTTTCTGTGCCCTTGTATTTTAATCTTCATGCACAAAATGTTTATTCTTTTAGCCTAACACTGGAATTGAGAACTTTTTAGCATCCTTGAATATCTCCAAAGAAATTGAAGTACAGTCATCTCGTAATGAGGAGGCTCCAAGTGAAGCACATTTGTCACCACAGTCATTTGCTCTGGTTTGTATTTTGTGGGAGCTTTTGTACTATATAGCAGTTTCACTATTGTTAGCCTTGCCTACATACCTCATGCAGCCATTAAAACACTTTCTCTCATGTAGACTGTGTGTTGCATCAGCTGTCATCCTGTGAGCAAAACCAGGCTGCCCTGGGCAATTAAGCCATCCTTTTCTTTTTTCCTTTAGATTATACATAGCTCCCTTGCTTTTCAAATATTGTTAGTAGGCAATTTGATCAAAAGTTAAGCAGAAGGATAAGTATTATTTTTATGCCAGGAAATGAGAGTTGTTTTTTGTTTGTTTTTTTTTGTTTTTTTAACTCTAGGCTATTGATTTTCCTTATTCTCAATCTGAATGTAGTTATTGTTTTAATTTTTAACAATGTAACTCCATTAAAAGAAGGATCAATAAACTCTGTAACTCTGTTCACTTTTCTCCTCCTACTCCCACCATCTCCATAACAATCGTTTCAAAACAGAAGGGAACTCGGATGCTTAAAGAAATTCTAAAAATTGATAGCTCTGACACTGTGGACCATAAGAATGAAAAGACACAGTATGGTAATGAAGTTGCTCTTTCCTCTAATAGAAGAGATGAATATGGACCTTCCTCACAGACTAAACAAAATAAGAAATTACGTAAGTGAACTAAATACAATTACTAATAACAATATCATTTCAAAAATTCAGTTCATTTTTTATCATGTACTTTTTAAAGATAAAAGTACTTTTATTTTTTAAAGCAATATAATGAAAACAAATAAGTGTAATTGTTGTGCTTGCATCATTATATATAATATAACTGTAACCAATAGCTGTATAATCACTAAATGTCATCTTGTGATTACTTAAATTGTACTATTACAGATATTCCTTCTGCAGATCTCAAACCTGGAAAGTTTTCACATTCTAGCTTTTTTTCCTCAGTAATTTAAAAATGAATATATAACTTAAATACTTCACTTAACTTTTCTAAAATTCTCTTTTCCTATTTATAAAATGAGAGTAACATTGCAAATGACTGCTGTGATAATTATATGATCTATATAAGGCAATTAGCACTGTGTCTGGCACATCATGGGTGCCAATAATTTGTATTAGTATTATGTTAAAATAACTTGACCAACATAAAAATGGAAGAAGCTATAAAATAAATTTAAAATAATTAATGGAGAGACATTGGAGAGTGGGTACTTGCCCTAAATCTGTGAAGCCAATAGCATAACAGCTGGCACACAGCTGGATTTAATTGAACATCCATTGTTGCCGCAAACCTGTTATGCCCCCTATACTTTAGGATTTTGTTTATGTAATATCTGCAAAAGTTTACCAGGAAGAATCACTAATGCGAAAGTAGATGGGGACAGAAGCTTCTTAGGGAGGTAAAAAACATTTTGAAATAAGCAGATCTGGTTTATTAAGTATCAAAATCTGGAACAAAATGAGAGCCTAGCTCCATTTATACTTCAGTGAATATTGGGATAAATAATTAATTAAAAATTCCAATAACTATTAGGAAACTAGTTATTTATCATAGTGACAGATATGTTCTTGAAATAGAGCAAAATAAAAATTTTAAACTCAAAATTGGATAGTGATGCTCCCACTGTCAGAAGCAAGTAACTTTTACTTTATTTCAGTATAGTGAAAAAAATCATACACTTGAAGATCAAGAGCTCAGAATCCAGCCCATGTTACAGAACTAATGAGATCTGTGACTTTGCCAAATCCACTTAACCTTTTAAAAATCCATGCTAGTAAGAGGTTTGGATTCATCCTTCACAGGGGTATGCTCTTGTTCTATGGGGTTGTCAGAAAAGTCATGACGCATTTTTGCCATGAAAAAGACTGAAGCCAAAGCCTCAAAACTTACCAGTTAATTTTATTTTTTTATTTTTATTTTTTTTAAGTTAGGTATAGTGACTGATAAAATCATTTTATTGTTAGTATAAAAGGTATATATTTTCTTAATCAGCTCAAGAAAGCCATTTGCTTGTTTAAATTTTACCTGCAAAATAACTGTGTAGTCATTAATGTCTCAAGATGTTCATTTTTGGCAGTCAGCTACTGATCATATTTTAAAATCTTTATCTAAATCATATGTCATTAATCAATCACATCACCTAAAAATATGTATTGAATTGTTAGTAATTTTAGGCAGTGCCAAATAGATCTTATATTTGCTTCCTGGGAGATTCCTCTTTTCACCTTTTAACAATTTCCTGCTTGTATTCTACGAAACCCTGCAGAGCTGCATATCTTTAGATATCATTTAACATATAGCTGTGTCCTTTCCGTGTTTTGGTAGCATCTTACATAAGCCGGCCTCACAGCACTGGTGAGCACCGCAGCACCCAGCCTCCAGACAGCGTGTGCTGGTCTGCTCCCAGCCACGCCCCTCCTGTGGCCACACCAGTCACCGAACTTTCTCGAATTTGTTCCCTTGTTGGAATGCCACAGCCAGATTTCTCCTTTCTCAGAACCCCACAGGTATAGTATCCTACTGTTCCATTTATAGAAATTGTTTAACACTGAGCTTCAATAAATTGACTGAAAATCTTTGGCTAGAAAAAAATCTGATAGTGCTGACTTTTTTATACTTTCTGAGCCTCATAGACTCATACTTCTCACTCTGGCTGTTCATTCATGTTGAACCAGAGCCCTCAGAGAGGCTGACCAAGGAACCTCAGCAGCAGGGAGCCCAACAACATCCTTTAGATTGATAGGTGCTTTGGTCTAAAGAAGCAGTTTTCACACTTTTTGGTCTCAGAAGCTCCCACTTTTTTTGAGGATCCCCCAGAATTTCATTTACTTGTGTTCTATCCATAGAAATTAAAACGGAAAAATTTTTTAAAATATTTATTGTTTATTTTAAATAAGTTTTCCAAAAAATTTAGTGAGAAGAGTGGCATTGTTTTACATTTTTGCAAACCTTTTCCATGTCTAGCTTAATAGAAGCTAGATTCTCATATTTGCTTACTATCAATCTCTTGTGTGATATGTTGTTTTGGTTGAAATATATGAAGAAAATTTGGCCACAGATGAATAGTTACAAAAAGGGAGAGAATTTTGATAGTGGATATAATTGTGGATATTCTTTGATACTACATTAAAATGTGGTATTTTCTTAAAAGTTAGTTGCAGGGGCCGGCCGAGTGGCTCGGTTAGTTAAGAGTTGGCTTGAGAACGTGAACTCTGAGCTACAGGGCCACCCGTTTGATTCCCACATGGGCCAGTGACGCTGCACCCAAGCTGAGCTGTCGCTGAGCTGCCAACTGATGGCAGGATGGCTCAGCTGGTGTAATAACAAGATTGCCTGTTCGATGGTGGGCTACGCCCACCCGCAACTAAGACTGAACTCAGCACCTTGAGCTGAGCTGCCGCCCGGATGGCTCAGTGAATAGAGCATGTGCTCTTAACAACAAGGCTGCTGGTTCAACTCCCACATGGCATGGTGGCTATGCCCACCCGCAACTAAGATTGAACACAGCACCTTGAGCTTAGAGGCCATGAGCTGCCGACGGGAAGCCAGGAGGCAACTGGCACCCTCCACAACGAAGATTGAGGAACAACAACTTGGCTGATCCCCTCCCCAATTCCCCAACACTGTTCACCTCCCCCAAATCCCCAATAAAAATCTTAAAAAATAATAAAAAATAAAGTTAGTTGCAGTGTAGAATCTGAAACTACTGGTGAACTTTTTGTCCTCTGTATCTTTGTGGGAAAATGAGTGAGAAGGCAGATAGTATCTTAATACTATTATTGAAATAGTTTGACCTCAAGGACTCCTGGAAAATGTTGCATAGACCCTCAGGGTCCCAGACTGCACCTTGAGAACCATTGGCTACAGGGAAGGTTGTTTTATCCTTTTTACATTGAGTTCTTGATACATTCTCACCCAAAACAGAAAGCAGCATTAAATTCTGGTTACCTTTTAGAAAAGTAGAATTTTTTTAAATCCCTTTTGCAAAAGAATAATGTAAGAAGTTATCATTTAAATGTGAATATAAAATCAGTCAACACCTCTGCGCCTTTTAGATTTTGGCAGTTAATTCATATTAGTGAAATACCTGCTATTTGGAGGATGGTGTAATGTAGGGATCAGCAGATTGTTTCTGTAAAGGTCCAGATAATAAATGTTTTAGAATTTGCAGGCCATGTGGTCTGTGTCACAACTACTCAGCTCTGCAGTTATAGTCTGAAACAGCCATAGACGTACATAAAAGAGTAAACTCAGGCTGTTCCAATAAAACCTTATTTACAAAAACAAGTGGAAGTTCTCATTACCCAGCTCTTGATGTAAAGAAAACAGTTTTGCTGGCCCTCATTTGCATTAGGTGTTTGACCCTCTGCAGCTAACTTCAAAAGCATTTTATTTTGTAAATATTGAAAGTTTAGGCAACAATTCTAAAGTTTTAGCAGGCAACCCAAAACTTAAACTAATAGTCTTTTACTGAATTCTTGATTTTTTTTTTCTTTTTTACAAAATGCCAGATGAAATTGTTCTACTTGTTTAAAAACTAAGCTTTGAGGGAGGAGGTTGACCTTCTAGACAGATCACCTCATAGACATTCATGTTCTCTTTTTCAGACAATGACCGTTTGCCAGGTAAAATTATCTAATGGCTTGCTGGTCCATGGGCCACCGTGCCATTCTGAAAATGAAGCTAAGGAAAAGGCCTCACTTTTTGCTCTACAACAATTGGTGAGAACTGTTCATGACTCCTCTACTGCATTTTAATTAATCTCTATAGATGTTTTTGTCGCACTGTTTTCTAACTTTTCAATACTTCCATAGGGCACCTTAGGAGTGAATTTCCCTTTGCCTCCGCCAATATTTCCAAATTATCCTCCTGCTATACCACCTGGAACCATTCCTTCGGTTTTTCCCCAACCTACTGGTAAGATATTTTGGTCTTCTAAATAGTTATTGAGTTATTATTTTTAGAAAGTTCTTTTAAGATGCATCATTTTGAAGAAACCAAGAAAATTGTCTAAGTGTCTAAGGACTATAAGAAAGAACTATGAGAAGTAAGCCTGAAACCAGAGCCTGCAGATACATCTGCAAATACCACTGCCCCCTACCGCCTCTAGTGTGCCAGAGTAGGATGGCTCTTTGTCCTGGGCAGCCCCTTAGCCCCAGGAGCTACCAACACATGAATCTGGGTGTAAGGCAGACATTAAAATACGGTGGGGAAAAATAGAGGTGAACGGAAAGAAAACAGGTCAGGCTTTGGAGCTGCGGATGTGAAAGAAACTGCCCTTGATGATGAGGGAAATGAAGAGGGAGGGGTTTTTGAGCTTCCTGTGTGTTTCTCAATATTCTCTCATAATTGTCTTCCTCCTTCAAACGTGGTGCCTGAGTGAGTAAGCAGGTTGCTCCAAGCTTCCTGCAGCCAGGTCCTAAAGTGCTGGGAGAATGAGGAGGCCACTGTACAATCAGGACTCTTTGTCCAGTTGACTGACTTTGAGAAAATTATGAAACTTCTTTGGGACTCTTATTTTCTTATTTATGCTAGATGTATCCAGGATCTCTTTGAGACTAACATTTTGTAATTCTCTGATTCTAAATCTTAAGTTCATTAAACGTTTCTTTTAATACCCCTCTTTCCTAATGACAGTCAGCTTCTTCGTATCCCAATCGTTATCATTTTAAAACCAATAATGTTTTTATTTCAAGTTTAGAAAATTACTTTTCTGGGTCTATTATATTCCAGGTATTATTCTAAGAGCTCTACATATCTAACCCTCTCTATAAATATTAGAGATGTTAATAATGCTGATTAAACAGGCTATCCCTTCTCTTTGCCTAAACTCCATTAAACTGAAAAATAAATTATTTTAAAAGTGTAAACTTATAAAGACAAACAGATGAGAGAGGAAGTATCAGCAAATTAGAGATTTGAAAAGTGTTTGTGATGAGAAAAGCAGTTGAAGAAATGGTAACCAATTTAGCAGAACAGGGTTAAGCTACAAACTAAAGTTTCTGTAGAAGAGAATACAAAGGAGCGGATGAGCAGATTGTCCCTCACAATTCCCAAGAGACTCAGAACTTGGAAGTATCAGAAGCTATTAGAGCTTCAGAGGAGGCATGGGTGGAGAAAAGGGGGATTGGTTCAAAGTCCATGTGGAATGGTGGGACCTCTCCCCATATTCTTCCCCCACACAGCCAGGCCTCTTCACCTCTTCAGGCAAAAGACTGAAGGTGTGTTCTCCAGAGGGCTGCCTGATCTCAGGACACCAGGCACAGAGTAGAAAATGGGGTATTATGCTGGAAACTGACATGAAGATGAATTTTGTTTTCCCCATCTTATTCCCCAACTGTAACCAGCCATAACACAGAAAGGAAGTTGGAGGATGGTTCTTTTGAGAAATTCACTGAACTCTCTACAAAAGACCTCCTGACTTTTGGAGGGTGTCCCAACCAAAACCACTGGCTCAGTACCCAATCATCCCAGAGAGAAGCCCTCAAGCCATCTAGCCCTTCCCCCACCACACACATGCACTGCTTCTAATCACTGTTTTAGTGTCTTGCTCTTTAATATGAATAGGTACTAGACTGTGAAAGATCCTGAACATTTTAGGAAAAGAAAATCTCTAAAATTAAGAGAGAGAGTCCAAAACAAAGAAATGTAAGGGACCTGGAAACAACAATAATGTAGGAAATAAAACTTCAAAGACAGCCATTGTTAATATTATTAGTGAAATAAAACAGCATGGCAACCAGAAAAATAAGAACAAGAATGTATGGAAAAAAAAATTGGAGAATAAGAATTAAATGTTGAGTCCAATTTTTAAAACTCCATAGATAAAGCCCTAGCGGAGCCATGGAAATTTCAGGAAGAAGAGAGCAAGATAAAAGGTGGAAAATAAGAAAGAAAGGAGACTTAGAGGAACAGTGCCCAGATCCAACACCCATCTAATTGGAGTTCCAGAAAGAAGAGACCAGAGATAATGGAAAGGAGGAAAAGTATCAAAGCAATAGATAAGAAAGCTTCCTGGACTAACGGACATGTATCTCTAAATGGAAAGGACCACCAATGCTTACCACAATGAAGGAAAAGAGACACAATTGTCTTGAAATTCAGAATATGAGTGATGGTCTGAAGAGGTGAGAGAGGAAGTGAAGATATTGGGTCTCCGGAAAAGTCATGACGCATGTTTGCAACAGATGGCACTAGTTCATTTTTGGAAGTACTAGAGTCATTTGCATCTATGTTATTGCTATGTCATTTGAACGCTGACAGTTCTAGCTTCATTCTAAAAAAAAAATTAAGTGATTTGGTTGAGTTTTAGAGATTTTACAAGTTGAAGATGGAAGACCAAACTGTGCATTTTTGCCATATTTTACTGTTTTACTTCCATAAAGGGAAGAACGCACATCAAACTTGTGAAAAGTTGCATAAAGTTTACAGTGAAAATGCTCTACAAGAACGTCAGTGCCAAAGATGGTTCACGAAATTCTGTGCTGGTGATTTTGTTCTCAACGATGCTTCTTGGTCAGGGAGGCCCACCGAGGTTGACGACCTCAAAATAAAGGCATTGATCAAGTCAAACCCATGTTTTGTTTACACAACACAAGAGATTGCAAAAACATTGAACATTCATCATTCAAGCATTCATGACCACCTGAAGAACCTGGGATATGTAAGCAAGCTCGATATTTGGGTTCCACATGAACTCAAAGAAGTTCATTTGACGGCACATATAAACATCTGCAGTATGCTCATTAAACGTGAGGAAAATTATCCTTTTTTGAAGCGACTGATAACTGGTGATGAGAAATGGATTGTTTACAACAATGTGATGTGCAAACGGTCTTGGTCCCGATGTGATGATTCGCCTCAAACGACATTGAAAGCAGACTTTCATCAAAGAAGGTTATGCTCTGAGTGTGGTGGGATTTTAAAGGTGTCGTGTTTTTCAAGCTCCTACCAAGGAACCAAACAATCAATTCAAATGTGTACTGTCGGCAATTGGACAGTTTGAACGAATCCATCATCCAGAAACATCCAGAGCTTGTTAATTGTAAAAGAGTTGTGTTCCAACTCAAAACCACACAAGTTTGATCACCTGTCAAAAATTATTGAAGCTTGGATGGGATGTGTTGCCACACCCACCATACTCGCCTGAGCTTGTGCCATCAGACTTCCACTTGTTTCGCTCCCTTCAAAACTCCTTGCTTGGTATGATGTTCAGTTCAGATGAGGCTGTAAATCAGCACCTTGTTCAGTTTTTCACAAAGACATGTCCTTCTATGAATGAGGAATTATGAAGCTCACTGAAAGATGGCAAAAGGGCATCAAACAAAATGGGCAATATATCATTGATTGATCTTCGTTCTTTATGTAAATAAATGACCTTTGAAAAACATAGACAAAATACGTCATGACTTTTCCAAAGACCCAATACATTTGAAAGATCAAGAGTCAGAATGGCACTTGACTGTTTAACAGAGGGTAGAAGCTAGAAAGCAGTTGAACATTGAATACCTCAAAATCCTAAGGCAGAATTAATTTCATCTTAGATTTCTCTGTATAGCCAAACTGTGAATCTAGGGCAAGGGTAGACTACAGATATTTTCAGACACCCTAATCGACTTCTTATGCACCCTTTTAAGAAGCTACTGGGGCTGGCCGAGTGGCTCATTTGGTTAAGAGCTCACTCAAGAGTGTGAGCTCTGAGCAACAGGGTCGCTGGTTCGAGTCCCAGCCCAGGCTGAGCTGCCAACAGGTGGCAGGATGGCTCAGCTAAAAAAAAAAAAAAAAAAAGAAGCTACTGGATTATAAGCACCAGCAAAACAAAGTATTAGTTTAAAAAAAAAAAAAACAGGAAAAGAAAGAAATCCATAAAACTAAACCACAAGACATCCAGTATACTTATGCAATAAATGGAAATCCCAAGATGCCAGCTCCTCTACAGGTCTAGAAAGTAACTAGTCCTAATTGGAAGAGCAGGGGGAGGTCTTGGCAGGTAGATAGTTATCGGATAGATGGGAAGCATTTGGGAAAATATTAAGGATAGTTACACAAGACTAAGGAGTTTTTGTTTTTTGGTTTTTTTCAATTAGCAATGATCATGCCTCAGATAAACCTCATTGGCTATGATACTGCCACTGCACAAAGCTTAGACTAAGGAGATTTTAAAAGATAACTACTTTTAAAAGGGTTAAAAATAAGTTTTATAAGAAAAAAAACATAGGGCTTGGCCGAGTGGCGTGTTGGTTAAGAGCTGGCTTGGGACGCCAGCTCTGAGCAGCAGGGCCCTGGTTTGGATCCCACATGAGGGCCACTGACACTGCCCTCTACAGCTAAGATGGTGAACAACAGCTTGACCTGGAACTGGGCTGCCTAGAGTCGCTGGCGACGGCGTAGGCTGCAGCCCCTGCTGCAGTGGGCTGCCATAAGCTACCGTGTGCGGCTGGCAGCCAGCGTGAGCCAAGAACCGCCATGAGCGGCCGTCCAGATGCTGGCGACCGATCTGCCTCACCCGGGAAGAGCACAATGATAATACCAACATGGGCCAGTGAAGCAACGTCCTCCACAACTAGA